ATAGGCACTTGAGCCCTGCGACAGGTGCCTTTGCTGCCCCCCTGCTCCGAGTCCCAAGGGGCCCCTTATTTCTTACCTTCTCGTTTCTTACCTGTGCTGTAGTGCTGGCCACCCCACGGCTTGCAGGTTCCCAATGTTCTCCTTCTTCAGGCTGGGCTGTCCTTGTGGGTGCCACATAGTTTGGTGGTCCACAGCTTCCCCCGCCCTCATCTTCCCCTCCCCCCGACGAGCCTAGTTTAAAGCCTGCCGGAGGAGATCTGCCAACCTAGAAGAAAACACACGCTTACTTTGGGGGACAGGTGAAGCCCATCCCAACTGAGCATGTCCCTCATCGTAATGTGCGGGTCGTTGTCCAGGAAGCCGAAGCCTGCCTCGAGACACCACTGCCGAAGCCGCCAGTTGGTCTCTCCGATGCAGTTCTCATGCCGTCTTCCACGTCCATTCACTGGTAGGATGGAAGAGAATACCACCTGTGCACCGAACTCCCTCAGCACACCGCCCAGAGCACTGTAGTCCTCCATCAGGTGATCGGGGCTTCTCCTGGCCGCATCATTAGTACCCACATGGACTAGGACCATGGGGTAATAATCGGTGGGCTTGATCCTGGCCTGGATTACTTCCGTCACATCCTGAATCTTTGCTCCGGGCAGGCAGTAGACCTCTCGTGTTGAGGGGTCCTGGCGACAGATGGGCCCTTCTGTACCTCTCAGGATGGAGTCGCCTATGACAAGCACTCGTCGCCTCCTCCTCTGGGTCCGCTTGGATCCTCCTCTGGGTCTGCTTGGATGTTATTTCCTACCATAACATGTAGACATTCCTTTAACATGCGGACACTCACGTTTTAAGAGCATACAACACATGGGAAAGGTAACATCTAACAATATCCAATGTTTGGCTTTAAGCACATGACTAGATTCATGTCATCAGTGGTTAGTGTTAGCAGGAAGGCAGCTTTATCTCCCAGGATAGTACTGCATGCCTTAGGTTAGTGCTTTTAGTGAAACATCTTAAAGAGCTCTTTTATTCTTTTTATTCATTATATTTTAGGATGTGTCTAAAACAGATTACAGCAATGAAGATGATGGTGATAAAAGTAATGAAAGTAAAGAGGGACAACTAGGAAATATACATGGCACTACCAGCAATGGAGAAGTTGCCAGAAATGGAGATAGTGGGGGAATAGACTCTAGTTGTTCTTCAGAAGAAGTCTATGGAGAAGGTGGCACTGCTAATACTGATGGGAATGGAGATACAGGACATAAGGACAACTTTGGTAACACAGGGACAGTTGGAAATGGCAATGACACCACTGCTGATGGCAATGATGAAGAGAAGGAGGAAGACACCAGTGGCCAAAAGGAAGATGAAAATGAGAATGATGGCAAAGAACCTGCTGTTGGAAAAGGAGAAGGGAATGTTAATTATCAAAACAAAGATGGGCTCACTGATGTTTTCCCAACTCATGGAAATGAGACTGATGGAGAGAAAGACATCACTGGCAATGAGGCTGCGGAAAGCAGTGGTGCTATCAATGCAAGTCAAGGTGATCAAAATGTAGGGAAAGGTGAAGGTGGACATGGGGGTACTGGCACTGAAGGGTCCAGCAGTAGCAGAGGAGTTGGAAGTGATGGCACTGGTAATGGAGGAAATGAAAACTGGGCTGATAGTGAATGCATCAGCGGTAATGGAATAGATACAAGTGAAGAAGGCTCGGGTGATGAAACATTATTTAACTTCCCAGGCTCTAAGAATACTGAGGGAAGTAAGAATGGCAAGAGAAGTAATGGGAATGAAGGTAAGAGTGATGACACTGCAGTCATACCAGACACCAGTACCCCAGGAGGAGGTGACAGCACTCATAAGGAAGATTCTGTCAGCAGCAGTACAGAAGAAAATGCAGAGTGTGACATAGACTCTGATAGCAAAAGTGCCGAGGATGACAATGGGGATGCAGACAAAAAAAGCCAAGAGGTCAAAAATGACAAAGATGAGGAAAATGAAAACAGCAGCCGTGCAGGTTCGAATGTTGATGAGAAGGAAGATGCTAAGGTTAGTTAGGTACTGCATGGCTGTGTTCTCTAAAGTACTTAGAGTAACTTAATGTTTCTTCAGGCATCAGCATGGGAAACACCCAGTGGCTAAGACAAGCCACTTTTTTGCATTTGTAGGTATCTGCGTGGCAGCAGCAGCGCAGCCCAGCCCAGCCCACCTGGGCCCAGCAGGCCCTGCCGTGGCCCCCCAGCCTGCCCACGCCGCCATCCCCCCGCCCCGGCCCCCTTTTGAAAAATAGTCCGTGCATAGCCCACACCCTTGTATAGCACACACCCATCCATTTTTTTTGTAAAATCGTGTATAACCCACGGGATATATGCGCAAAAATATGGTATTTTGCCATTTTTGCCTTGTGAAGAACATCAGAAAATTTTCAGAAGCATCTCAGTCTTTGAGAGACATAAAGAATTCCCATGAAGAAGGGCAGATATCTGTTATTTGGGGATTTGGGGCAGAGATAGTGTGGTGGTTTCTGCACATCAGGTATCCAGTTTGATTCCATAGTATTTCAGTTCCTTTAATCCTGGAAATCATTATTTCTTCCACTTTCTATGCTGTGGTATTTAGTGGGGTTCTAAGCGTACTTCCCATTTGTATATTTGTTCAGGAAATAGTGAATAGCATGGAGCCAGATGCAAAAGATAGAATAATAGCCATTTTTGCTATATGTATATTTAAAATATATATTTAAAATTTAATATATTTACATTTTAAAATATTTAAATATATGCACCTGTTTTTTCTAAATTAGGTTTAAAACTTATTTCAAATTAATATATATATACACACATGTTATACACACATTCATATGTGAATTCAATTATGTATATATGTGCATGTTATGATAATATGTGTGTGTATGTATATATGTGTATAAGTGAGGAGAGTGTGTGTGTGTGTGTGTGTGCGTGTGCACGTGTATGTGTAAGGGGCAGGATGGATGGGATACAATTAAATGTCAAGAGCAAGAGAAAAGAGCATATAAAGAGAAAAGAGATGGGGCCAGAGAGACACTAACATGAATTAGCATTGAAGGAGGAAGAAAGATTAAGTTCAGGTTCCCAGGTTTCCCTAGGACCTGATCTAAAACCATTGCAGGCAATGGAAAGATTCCTCTTGACTTTAGTGAGTTTTGGATCAAGTCTGTACAAATCCATTAGAGTGTGGGCGTGCGGGGGGGAGGAAGCAATTTGTGAGAGACTTATGTGATCCACAGTATCAAATACAAGTTAGGAAGGGAAAGAACTCGAATGACTCTTTGCAGCTGGTAATTGCTCTAGTGAGGGCTCTCTTGGTATAAGGAACAGAACCAGCCTTGGGGCAGAATGTATCAGGAACACAATGCCAAGTGCAATAAAGAAGAATTCCAGAATTAGCTAGCTCTACACAGCAGGTCCATGTCAAGCCACTCAGTAAAGCCAGTTTACATAATGGCCCAGCTAGTATTTTAAAGCCCCAGTGCTGGTGACAAGCAACAGATCATTCTTTAGAGGAAGGGGCAGTTGTTAGTGGAATAGGAGCATCCACACCCTGCTGCCATGGTCACACTTCCAAGCAACTATTCCAAGCAACATAATCATACGTGATAAACATACGTGCTTTCCTGCACTGCAGACTGATACACAGACATTTAGGGGATAGACAGACCTCACAGCTATATTGATACTGGATAATACCTATAGGAGCTGTTGGGATGTAATTATTATGTCTGCATGATTCTGTGATACCAGTGCAGCAAAAATGTTATAACTTTAGCCCTGTTTCCTTGAGGACCAAAGTCACAATGATTTAGCACAGTTGTATTGCTACAGTTTCATACAGATGTAACTGTAAGATCCTAATAGTAGGGGTGTGCAAAACAGGCTGTATTCAATTTGGATTTGGATTTGGCCCAAATTGGGGACAGTAATTTGATTAATTGGTTTGGATCACTGTCCCCAATTTGATTCAACCGAATCCGAATCTGACGATTCAGTGCCGATTCGGAGAATCAGCGATTCAGCCATAGACACAGCTTTAAATGTTTTTTCTATATACCTCGAGATATCAGGCACAGCTCATGAATGCTGCTGTGCTGGGGTGGATGGAGCATGGGGGAGGCCCCCGTGTGCTCGGTGGAGAACCCAGAAGTGGACCAGAAGTAATTCCTGTCCATTTCTGGGTCTGCCGGGGAGTGTGTGCTCCCCCCCTCCGCGCTTCCCTGGCTTGGTGATTGGCTGCGGGGGGACCCTGGATGTCCCCCCAGACCCAGGAGGGACCAGTCACTGAGCTGGGGGAGGGCGTGCAGGGGGGCCCCCCAGCGCACTCCCTGGTGGACCTGGAAGTGGACCGGAAGTGCTTCTGGTCTACTTCCGAGTCTGCTGCTGAGTGTGCTGGGGAGCCCCCATGATCCTGTGGGATGCTTCTTCCACTACAGCATCACAGCATTCACGAGCCGCCTGGTACCTTGAGGTATGTAGAAAAAACATTTAAAGTCGTGTCTATATCTGAATCGCCAAATCATTCTGAATCTCTCCAAATTGATTTGGAGAGTTCTGATTCAGTTTGGAGAGATTAATGGGTCTCTTGATTTGATTTGGATTTGGAGATTCAGCCATTGAATTGGGCTGAATCTCCACCAAATCAAATCAGGGACTGAAGCTTCACATGACCCTACCTAATGAACACTCCAAGGCAGCATCTGCCCATCCTCTTTTCAAGTGGTTAAAAAGGTTACTTAACTAATCACATAGGAAAGAAAACACTTAGGTCACTTCCTATGTAACTTCATATAGAGCTCCTTAAAATGTAAAGACAGTAGAACAAAGCTAAGTAGCTAAAAATGCAGACTGGGAAGGTAGAAATGAATACATGGGTTGTGCTTATTTTCATGCTTTTCTTTCATCTTGGATCACGCAGGGGCTAACTAATGGAAGCAGCAATGACACCAACAGGACTAAAATTGCTGTGCTAGGCAGTGACTTGTGGAGTAAAGACAGTGACACTCTTAGTGGAATTGGCAACGATAAAGGTGTGACTGGCAATCCAAAAGAAAATTCCCAGCAGATCAAGTCTACGTGTACTGATGGGAAGCTTGGCAAATGCAGCAGTAAAAGTGACAGTGACAAAGCTGATGGTACATATGATTTTGACAATGAACTCATGCAAGGAGATGACCCCAACAGCAGCAATGAATCTGTTGGCTTTGACAGTGGTGACAAAGGTGAGGACAATGACTCAGATTCTCAGAGTGGGAATAGGGACAATAGTCAGGAAGATGATACTAGTGATTCCCAAGGCTCAGACAGCAGGGATCATGAAAGCTCAGCAGGAGACAAAGAGGAAGCAAACAGTGACAGTGACAGCAAATCAGATAGTGAAAGCAAATCAGATAGCAGTGAAAGCGACAGCAAATCAGACAGCAGCAGCAGCAGCAGCAGTGAAAGCGACAGCAAATCGGGCAGCAGCAGCAGTGAAAGCGACAGCAAATCAGACAACAGGAGCAGTGAAAGCGACAGCAAATCAGACAGCAGCATTGAAAACAACAGCAAATCAGACAGCAGCAGCAGTGAAAGTGACAGCAAATCGGAAAGCAGCAGCAGCAAAAGCAACAGCAAATCGGACAGCAGCAGCAGCGAAAACAACAGCAAATCAGACAGCAGCAGTAGCAGCAGCAGCAGTGAAAGTGACAGCAAATCAGACAGCAGCAGTAGCAGCAGCGGCAGTGAAAGTGACAGCAAATCGGACAGCAGCAGTAGCAGCAGTGAAAGCGGGAGCAAATCAGACAGCAGCAGCAGTGAGAGTAACAGCAAATCTGCCAGCAGCAGCAGTGAAAGTGGCAGCAAATCAGACAGCAGCAGCAGTGAGAGTGACAGCGAATCAGCCAGCAGCAGCAGCAGTGAAAGTGGCAGCAAATCAGACAGCAGCAGCGAAAGTGATAGCAAATCAGACAGCAATGACAGTGGTAATAGTGATCAGTCAGAGAGCAAGAACAGTGAAGGTGGTAATGACAGCAACAGTGAATCAAATGGTAGTAATAATGATAGTGATGCAGGTAGTGACAGTGAAAGTGTTGAAAGCCACAGTGACAGCAATGATGATTTAGACAACACACTGAGTGCAAGTGACAGTGAATCTGAGGAAGATGATAGTGATAGCATCGTAAGACCAAAAGAAGGTCAGAGTGAAAGTGATTCACAAAGTGAAGGCAGTAATAGCAATGATTCAACTAGTGATGTTTAAAGTAAGTGCCAACAAATCATAAAGTCACTGGCAGTAATCTCCAGCAAATGAGGTTTGTGAGGGTCACAGGAAACGACTGAAAGATTAATATTATCCCAATATTAATTGAAACATCATGGTAGCAATTAAGCTAAACTGGGGCAAGGCTAGAGGAAAAAATGCATTACCTAAATGCCATGTCATTCTATTACCTAGATGAAAATATCATACAAATTACTGTATGTGTTAAAGTAACACTTTTGGGTGCTTTAGTCTGAATAAATTGTAAAGCCTATTCAAATGAAAACAATATCAGTGTTTGAATCTCTGGGATAGTCATTTATTCAAAGTACTAGCTGTAATTATTGAAAGCCAACTTGTGGATGCCTTCTCTCATGGTGAATGGTACCTGAGATGATGAGTAGTCTCTCTAAAATGGGTAGGCTCGCTCCTTGACTAAGGTGCTGTTCAGCATATGTGCAGGTGCAGGGGCAGGATGTGGCACTAAGTTATTCTATTTGATGCTTTAGAACCTGGTCTAGGACAAACTGCACATTTCAGGTAACTTATTGTTATTTAACATTAATACTGAAAATATGTAGATGATTCATACAAAGATGTCCTCTGTAACATACCCATATGCTGCCGGTAAACACACATTCTTTGTTAAATGACAATTAGATGCAAGATTCTTTCTTTTAAGCTAATCACTTCAGAACTGTATTTTTAGAAGGTGAAACATGAATATTGTAATCTGTAAAATAAAGATTTTTTAATGTAGTCTATTTGCCTTCATCCTGGGAAGGGATCTGACTGGCTGTGTTAAAAGAACATCCTGGAGTGAGTTTATGGCAAAATCTGTAATTCTTGGTATTTCAAATGAGAATATTATTATATTACAACACCTGAAAATAGGCTGAGCCCCTCAAAGTCCAGGTAAGAATACACAGTCCCAGGTTATAGCTGAAAATCCAGAAGCTTCCAAGCCTTATGCATGTATTATTACTGTTAGATATCTATTAAACATTTATATTATGATAGAGCCCAAAGGGTGAGATTCAGTGCCAGGCAATGTACAAACACAGGAGAGAGGATCCCGGCCCTTACCATGAGTAGTTTCATTGAGCTTAATGCTATTGCTCCCCTATAGTCTAATCCAGAGAGCACAGGAGGCAGGAATTTGGCTGGCTCCCCAAAAGATGAAGAGTCCCCAAGGACTCCAACCACCCTTGTCTATCACATAGGAGAATCTGGATTGTGACCTTGAGATGTAAATGATCCAAAGAAGAGGGAGAAATTCAAAACAATACAATGAAATGATCTATTAACAGGGATTCTCTTTTCTGAAATCACAAATCAAAATCAAACAGCAGACTGGAATGATGAAATATCCAAGCTGTTTTTTTTTTTACTAGTCTTTCACTAAGGGTTCAATCCTGCTTTTGCTGAATTTCTGCCATGGCTTTAAGAACCAGACTCATGTCCTTAAAGTATGATTTAGTCTGCAGATTATTCACATGATATTAAAGGACTTCATGTAGATTAAGCTTCTTGCTATCCTTGACAGTTGTTGATCTCATTGGAAGTTGAGGTTGGTCAGTGTATCAAAAGGTCAAGCTGGGTGATAAATTGTCCCAAATGTCTATAGCAAAAGACTATCTAGGGCCTGGTGGCTGTGTTATAAAAAGGACAGATGCAAGGAGTATTTCCAGGAGGGACCAGTCTTAGTGTTTATCATTTGCTCAGAAAGCAACATTTTGGCAAAAGATTACATCAGGTGTGTGGAGGTTGAGTTAAATGCAGGTTCAAGCTAAAAACACCATAATTGTTTGAGAAACCAAAAAAGGTTTGTGATGTGAACTCACATCTGTAAAGCCTAAGGGTGTAATGTTGTCTGAAGTTCAGAGGAAAGCACTGCCCACATTATCAAGAGCGATAGATAATTTTTAAAAAAATCAATAAGAGGAGGAAAGATATTTATAGAATATGGCAGTGAAATAATAAAAGGTTTCAAGCCAATGTCTATTGAATTTACTGGGAATCTTTCCCAGTGGGGTCTGAATGGATCGGATAGAGAGGCAAGCCAAACAAATACAGAAGTCAAAAAGTAGTGAAGAAGGAAACTAGAAATGAAGGGAGAAGATGAACAGTGATGGACTGGAAAAGAACGGAACTAAATACACAACAAAGAAAGGAGACTAGAATCAGAGATAGCATGGTGAAAGATGGAAAAAAAGGAGAGACAGGAAGTTCAAGGATGGCTGGGAGAAGATCCAGTAAAGATAGTGATAGAAGTGGACAATATCATAGGAGAGAACTAATACCTCAGTAAAGGGAGCACAAGAGCATGGCCCAATGCATCCTTCCCCAAACCTTGTGGGTTTACACCCCACTGTAATCAGGGTTTGAATTGCACTCTGACTCTTGAGGGTGGGGGGGGCCTGCAGTGTTGGCAGTTGGAAGCCGGAAGAAGCTGTTGCCACTGCCTGAGCTGCTTAGAAAGGTGGAGGGTGGGCCAAGGGCTCTCATTTCTTAGGGGGGGGAATGGGGGACTCTCATCTCGCTGCTGGCTTCGTTTCTCTCACCGATTCCCCCCCACCACTGATTGGTGCAAATTCCCTGCATCAGCAGCAGTTGTTGGCAAGGGTGTCAGCAGCAATCAATGGCAAGAGGAAGCAGTGGTAGGGGAAATGGCAGCAGTGGCTGAAGTAGTGGGGCAATGGCTGAAGTAGGTGGTGCTTCCAGTTGCTGTTGATTCACACTCCCCATCCCAGAAACATTAAATAACCCCCTCCCCTGCAAGGGGGTGCACCCCACAGTTTGGGTACAGCTGGTGTAATGGAGGACTTGAGGGGTACTGAGCTGCTGTTTGGGCTTGGTCTTCATTTCCTTCCTTTCTTTGTCTGGTTTATTCAACTGAGTCCCAATCCTGATTGACGCATCTAGGTGCTACTGCAACATAAATAACAAGAACTGCAGTAAATGTTGCCTCAATCCAGAGGGTCGACACAAGTTGCTATCCATAGCAAAATCCAGGGATGCAGTACCAAAATGAGAACAAAGATCGGAGTCTGCAAGGGGAAGCCAGAGGGGAAGGCATCATTATTCAAGCTTCAGGAGAGAATAGGATGTTGTCTCCACTTTTGTTTTAAAAAATTGCAGATACATGTGCTGATGTACCAAGAATTAAATAATCTGAATAGACGCTGACACAAGTAAACCACATAAAGTGACTCCTGGCATAAGAATACTTAAACACTTAAGTAGCCCTCTTTGCATTCCAAATTCTTGAAATTCATTCACTACTTAATCCTGCTAAAAACATCATGAGGGTAAGTAACTAGTGTTAGCTTTAAATGGTGGTGGAATTGAGGCAGAGAAGAATTAGGGTACAATTTAAAAAAATGCTTAAGAGCCCAAGTGCCATTTTCAAAAGTATTTTAGATACTTGGGACCCAGCAAAAAAGTCCCTGATAGTCAGGGGCTTTTGAAAATGTGATCCTTACTCAGTGGCGGACTGACAGGGTCACAGGAGGGGGCCATGACCCCCAGTGCCAGCCTGGGTGGGGGCACCAGCTGGGTCCTTCAGAGTCCTTATCACACGATGTGACTTTAAGTATTGCTACAAGAAGGACGGGGTGGGGCACAAATGCAAGCATTGGTCCCTGGACGCCAGAGACCCACAGTATGTTACTGTCCTTACTGATTTGTCTACTTCACAGGAGATGGCTGGGTCAGAGTCCAAGTTAGAACCTTAAAACTGAGACTTTCTAGCTCTTGCCAGATGATAATACAAGTGTGAAGGAAATGCCCCATCTCTGAAGCTGTTGCTCAAAGGGAATCTCCCACCCATAGCCCCTGGTACTTTATAAAGGGTTGCCTTACAACTGCACAGCAACTAATGCAGCTTTAGGCCAAGTGCCATTTTTGCCAGATTCTCTGGAATGCACTTTTCCTGTGTTTGTGCTTCTGATATGCCTTTGACTGCATTAGGAGTGCATATTTTAAAATAATAGAGAGTCTAAAATCTAGCTGTGCTCCCCTCCCCACACATACACTTTCTGGTGTTATCGATGCATAATTAGTTTTGTAAATCTGGACAATGAGAGTTTGATCCTCCTGTTGTCCCCAAATCTGACTGGGTCAGAAAAGGAAGGGAAATACAATGGTCCATTTATATAGCCCCTCTCTGAACCCTTTTTCTACCCAATCCATTTCCACCCAGTAATATTATTTTATGAAGAACAGCTTCCAGTGAATGATTGAAAAACCCAGCAAAATACTGAATGCTGTAATTTAAAAAATGATCAAACACCATAAAGAAGGGAGGAAAATGCCTCACAAATTTAATACTGGGGATGATCTCCCTAGAGCAGTGGCTCTCAACCTTTTCTGTACCAGGACCCATATGTAAACATTGATGGCCAGTACCAAACCTGTGCCCCTCACTCCCAACCTGCTGCCCCCAGGCTCCAGCCCCACTGTGTGGGGTGGGGGGGAGGGGGGCCAAGCAGCCTTTCATAGGCTAGAACTCTGCCAGCCTGCAAGGGCAAATCTATAGTTTCCCATGTTTTTCTCCTTTAAAGAAGAATCCATTTTTAAAGTTTGTTGATCCATTTCATTTATTCTTGTGACCCACTTTTGGGTTGCGACCATGGATTAAGAAACAATGCCTTAGAGAATAGAAAACCTGCTGCTGACTTCTGGAATAAGCCCCAACTGGGAAAACTGTAGCATGGTTTTAGTTGCCACATTTTTTTTGTGGTTTGCCCTGCAAAGCTCAGCTTTTGAGAGGCATGCTGAGAATGAATGGAAAAGATGATACAAATGCTTTCCTTCCGTGCCATTCTGCCAGTATCCTAATGGAGGCTTTCCATGATTTTTTTCTTTGCAACCTGTGCTAAATCCAAACTTTGGTGGTTGCATGTGCTGCAAAGAAATTGAGCCAGGTTGGGAAATGTATTGTTGCCTTTACCTGGTTAAACACAGATGCAATCTCCTAACCACAGAGGGAAGTGACATTGCTTGGCAACAAAAAAATTATATGAATTGCACTTGACTGCCATTGTTTATATTTTCCTCCAAAAACAAACTTAGCCAAATTCCTTCTCTGTTACCTCAGTGTAAATACAGAGTAAAGCCACTGAAGTCAGCAGAGTTGGTCTGGATTATTTGTGTCAAAGCTCAGAAATGAATTAAGTCTCCTGAGGACACTGAGAAAATAATGTCATTTTCAATGAGTGTAACCTAGCATTGGGGAGGGGAGGAGGAAACTTTAGGAGAGTCTGGGTTACACTCCGGAAGGATACTGTTTATTTTAAACCTGAAATTTGATGATATATAGTCCATTTTAAAAGCAAAATATTTGCATTTCAGGCTGAAGGGATTTCTCAGCTCTGGTGGGGATGATTTAGCAGTATCCAAACAAGGGCAAGGAAATCATCTCCTTTTCTTTCAGTTCAGTGTCAGAATTTCCTGCAACGTATCATTCCTCTCCTCAGCTGGCATTAAGATACATTACTTGGTATAAGCCTGGTAAAGAAGTCACAAAACAAAAGGAATGTGTGCTTGGTATCTACTAGCATAATTTATAATTACTTGTGTGTGTGTGTGTGTGCGCACATGCGTGTACATGTGTACATACATATGTACAGAGAAACAGATCCTATTAAAATTGCAATCCTAAGAATAATACATAGCACTATTCAATTCTCAGGACAACAGAATTAGGCAGTTAGATATTACTATCTTCGCTGTAATAACAGATAAATGGAAATAGAGAAGTTTGGCCATGTTCAGAAGGAAGGAACAGAGGAAATCTGTGTCTACCCCAGGACTAGAACTCAAGAATTCCTGGTTTCTTGTTCCAAGTTCAGACCTCTAAATCATTATTAAAAAGTATAAGAAAAAAACCCACCACCAAACTGCTGCATGATTTTTCTGTCATTTGCATCAGCTTGGCAAAAATCCTGTTGAGTTTTTACTTTCAATAAATACATTTAGGACCTGATCCCCTGAAGTTTGCCAGGAGCTGAATCAACCATTCAATGCCCAGATTTACAAAACTGTATGATCTTTCTTGGTGAGAACAAAAAAAATGTAGAGTTCATACTGATCCTTATAAAGAGGTGAAATGAATACATGTAAAGTGAATGTGCCAGAATTTTCTGCAAAAAAATTCGGGCACACAAAATTGTGCCCACACATGCATCTGAACATGCTCCCATCAGGAGCAAATTTGCTCCTGATGGGAGAGTTCAGTCCAGGGCTGCTCCTGTCCTGCTCTGCCACCCTGCAGCAGCCAGAGGGAGCTCCAGGCTCCCTTGGGTGTGATCCCATGGCTGTCAAGGGGCACAGGGGCCAGTCCTGATCTCCATGGGGCAGAGGGAGCTGTTTCGGCTCTGTCCTAGCAATTTGCTCCAGGTCATGGTCTACACATGTGCTTTGACACATTAGTTGATGTGCTATTTTTTTAGTATCTGTATGTATTGGTACTAGCAAATGGTGCATTAGGCTAATTTAGTGCACAGTAATTGCTGCGCACATGTAGACAGTGGTTAGTCTAATGTGCAGTAAAGCGTCTTGTCCAGATGCACTCAATGTCTTCTATTGCGTAAACATGTAACTTGCAGTTCCTGGAACATAAACACACAACTCCAGGCTTGTATAACTTCAAAATATGTATTAACAGGAAACAGTCCTAATCTTGGTTATACCAAGGACCTGGCCAAATGTGTGGGTGACGTTATAACTGTTTATGCTGTAAGCTTGGATGTATGTGAATGGCACAAATTTAGAAATCAAAATAAAGACTTAGCAAAATCTTTCATTAAATGAAAATGAATCTAGTCATTTTACAACCACAGTAGCTTTTTTTAGTCAAAATATCCCTGTGGAGGTTGCAGGAAGTGTAGGAGTGTTGGATTCCCGGTGACACCTCATGACATCATGGCCCCTCTTCAAAATCCTGATTGGTCCTTTGGCTTTTGAAGCTCATTTGAAGCAGAGTTTAAATTCACGCCCTGGCAGAAGACTGTCTGGATACTCAAAGTGCCACTGAGATACAGATGTATGTGTGTTTCTTGTGCCTTTGTGAGATCTGAAGTTCAAAAGCCAAGTGCTCCTGAAGAAAGCCCGGTTGAAGTACACACAAAGGTAATGATTTTAATTTCTTTAGTTTATTCTGCCATTGCTATGAGTGAAGAATGAAGCAGGCTATCCACAGCAATGTTTATGGATTTGTGACGCAGAAAAGCGCAATAGATTTGCAGATGTAGATGCAGATATAGTTTCTAAGGAAAAAGCAAAAGCTCATTTATTACTTTCATATTTTAGAGTGTTCCTGGTGAATTAAGAGTGTATTGTAATGTGTTGCTTCCTGTCTAGGGTGTATTTACCTGTTTGTTTCTGTTGTATTTTATTTGATTTGCCCAATGTATGAATCTGTATATGTAGGGCCATAAGGCAGGGCACGTCTTTGCCTTAGAGAAATAAATCCAGGTAGCTATGATGTTACACTGCTGTGTGTTTAACTGACTGTGGAAAAGGAAGTATATGACAATAGTAAATAATGGGGCAAATGGCATTACCGTCACCTATTGATCTCAGTGAAGCTTAGTGTAAGGAAAGATGGCAGAATCAGGCTTTTCTGAGAGTATAAATGATGGAACATGCTTTTGCTTCTAGTCACTGTGCATTGTGCCTAGCATAAAAAAAGATGTTAATACAATGGTAACTTAGTTTGACTTCAAATTCTATGGAGTAAAACTGATTCAGTGAAACTGGATTCGTTCCTCTGTGGGTGCATCTACACAAGACGTTTTGTCGCCACAAGGATGAGCTACAGTGATGTAGCTCATCGCTACAGTGACATAGCGTCAGGGGGCACAAACTGTGACGCTGATGCTATGTCACTGCAGCAACAAGCTATGTCTCCATAGCTCATTGCTACAGCAATGTAATGTCTAAAAATAAGTGTGCACTGCCAGAACTGTGCAGTACCAAATACGCAGTCAGAGGCATGTGTAGAAATGCCCTGTAAGTATTCCACAATTACATTTTGGATCCACGGTAGATTTAATGCAATGCTCAGTAACCTTCCCTACAATTAATTTAGATGTAAATGCAAAGATTTTGACAATTATATACATATACATACATACCTCTGTGTGTGTGCGCGCGCGCGCGCATGCGTATGTGAGGCAAAGATTTTTATGGGTGATATATTTTATTGGATGAACTGTGTGGTTAGAATTAAGTTAGAAAAAATTTCAAATGCAAGTCATTCTTCTTGAGTGCCTTGCATTCAAAAGCTTGTCTAACTTTATCCCAACCATACAGTTCATTCAACAAAAGATATTACCTATAAAAAGCCTTTCCTCTCACATAATTCTTGGACCATCAGCTACAACATTACCCCAACACTACTATGTATATGTACATAATACTGCAAGCTGTAGGTACAGCCATTGACTAAACCAGTTAACAGATTGGTTATTAGCTTTAGGGCTAAACACAGATAGTCAAAAAATCTAAGGCTGAATTGATTCAATCTTCTCAGGTTAGTCAAAGCTGTGTAGATTGAACTGATAAGCAAGTGAACAGACATTCACTTTTGATTCTGGAAATGCAGTTACATGCCTGCAGTGGTTCAGGCCAGAAGCTAGAGAACACCTCCCTCCTCAGCTTGGGGCAAGACTAGCCCACCCACCCTGTGAAGCGGGGCTTGTGGGGGAGGTGCAAAGCATCCTGGGCTGCTGGGGGACTGTGAGTTAACTTGAATCTGGAGGGGATCTGGGACAGAAGTTCAATAGACTGATTTAACCTAAATAATTTAATTCTGATACTACATCCACCCAGGTTTATCTTAAACCAGTTTTGGCCATTTTGAAAGTGGTTTATATGCATTGAACTTCTGTTGTGTTACAGATTTGAACTGGTCTCCAATCACTTATACTGGTTTACGTGTCATTTCTGTCCCTAGCCCAGAAGTGACAGAGTCATTATGAAACTGATAAATCACAAATAACCTTTTCCAGGTTACTGAATTTTCAAGGATAAAATAAGCAAAGCCTGTGCTTCACTAAGTATTTAGTATTCTAACTCAAGAGGAAACTAAAATTTGAACGTACTCCCATAGAAATGTGATGGACAAGATTTTCAAAAGAGGCAAGCTATTTTGGAAGGGAGATGGAAAGGAGAGATGTTCTGCCCTCTTTTGAAAATCAAGCCCTTTTCAGGTGTCTCAGGTTGGGTACACAAACACTTAGCACGCCAAAATTACTAGTAATTTCTGAGAATACAGGTCATGTGCTTTATATGCCCTTATAACAAATCAGTCTGAACTATAAATAGGAGCATATGTAAATACTCTGTTGTAACACCCCTCTTTCATTGCAGTTGCACACATCATCATCAGTATGAAGACTGTACTTTTGTTAATTTCCCTATGGGCTTTAACATATGCTCACCCCGTAAGTACCTATTATGAAACCATTAAAACCCCAAGCCCCAACCCATCCATTTAGCATACTCAAGTCACTCTGTACAATTTTTGTTCATTCATAACTTGTTTCTTCAATGTGTTTAGGTGCCCAACCATCCAAATGTTCATGATGGCAGCTCTAAGGAATGGAAGGTAAGTAAATAACCTAGTTCAGTGACTAGGTTATAAAATGATCCTTAATGAGGCCCTAGTCCAGGTTAACTGTGATCAAGACAATGCTTTAGTGTAGAAGCTACAACAGGCCTGGTCTTTGAGTGATATCCATTTATTCACCTGCTCAGTTTTAATTCATTAATGGCTTCAGCCAGATATGTTTCCCACATAAACAAGCACATATCTTCATCCACACAAAGAACCACCTGGTATATTGAGGTGGTGTGATTAGATTAATATATTCTATGCTTTTGACCACTTCGGTTGTGTATTACCCACTAATCCATTCACTGAGAACTTATTCTACTGATCCAGGGATCTATGCAGCTTAATACAGCTGTTCTTGATCTAAAGAAATCAACCTGACAAGGGAGCATTTGGTTCTTCCTTGCTAAAATATGGAACTTTGCTTTGAAGTTACCCCAGTCAATAGCACAGAGCAGGGAAGATTCAATTATGGACTGGTAAATGCTTTTTCTAGACCTAAAATATCACAGGTTGCAAGTTTGATATCTCCTGATGCTGCAGGGCTAGAAATGGGAATTAAATGATATTGGAAAGGAAAAAAAATCCAATCTTTCCAACAGGACACAACCACTTGCTACTTATTCTGGAGTATCATAGTTTGGTATTAAAAGAGGGATGCTGTATGCTAGGCCTGTGTGAATAGAGAAGTATACAATTTGGATTTGGCTGATTCAGAGGACAGTGATTCAATTCAGAGATTTGGATTACTGTCCTGAATCGAATTAGCCAAATCAGCTTTGCAAGATTCGGCGCTGATTTGGAGAGATTCAATGATTCAGATCTGATGGGGAGAGGCAGGTACAGCTGGGTGGCTGTGCCTGCCTCTCCCTGGGTGGGGGGAGCCATAGGAGAAGCCCCCATAGCTTCCCTACCTGGCCCCATCCCCTTCTCGGCTCCAGGCTCAGCACTTAAAAAAAAAGGCCCTCCCCAGCCTCAGCCCTGCTTGGCCCCATCCCCTACCTGGCCCCATCTCCCACTCAGCACTTAAAAAAAGGAGCCTGTACTCACTGGCTGTAGGGGTGGTGATCAGAGCCTCTGGGCATTGGTGGGAGGGGCCCCCCCCACACAGCGCAGGGGAGTGGGGG